GGATGGGGCAGCCGGAGCAGGGATGCGGCCGGGGGCTTTTCCCGTTGCCTTCCGCAGGCTCCTGCTTCCTGGCAGCGAAGCCGGTGTTCCCTATGGAGCAGGGAGATGGGAGGGATTGCAACGAGCTGGTCCTTAGAGGACGGAGCCCGTGTGATGTCCCCTCCATGCGATGTCCCCTCCAGGCGATGTCCCCTCCATGCGATGTCCCCTCCAGGCGATGTCCCCTCCATGCGATGTCCCCTCCAGGCGATGTCCCCTCCATGCGATGTCCCCTCCAGGCGATGTCCCCTCCATGCGATGTCCCCTCCAGGCGATGTCCCCTCCATGCGATGTCCCCTCCAGGCGATGTCCCCTCCATGTGATGTCCTATGTGGATAATGCCCCACCTGGGTGATGTCCCCTCCATGCGGTGTCCCCTCCAGGTGATGTCCCCTCCATGTGATGTCCTATGTGGATAATGCCCCACCTGGGTGATGTCCCCTCCATGCAATGTCCCCTCCATGCGATGTCCCCTCCATGCAATACTGCACCTTGGTGATGTCCCGTCCATGCAATGTCCTGTCCACGTGATGTCCTGTCTATGGATGTCCCAGCTGGGTTATGTCCTGTCCATGCGATGTCCCCTTCATGCCATGCCCCATCTGGGTTATGTCCCCTCCATGCGATGTCCCCTTCATGCCATGCCCCACCTGGGTGATGTCCCCTCCATGTGATGTCCCCTGTACGCGATGTCCCCTCCATGTGATGTCCCATGTGGATAATGCCCCCCCTGGGTGATGTCCCCTCCATGCGATGTCCCCTCCATGCGATGTCCCCTCCATGCGATGTCCCCTCCATGCGATGTCCCCTCCATGCGATGTCCCCTCCATGCGATGTCCCCTTCATGCCATGCCCCACCTGGGTGATGTCCCATCCATGCGATGTCTCACCTGGGTTATGTCCCCTTCATCCAATGCCCCACCTGGGTGATGTCCCATCCATGCGATGTCTCACCTGGGTTATGTCCCATGCATGCAGTGACCATCCATGCAATGTCCTGTCCATGTGATATCCCACCTAGGTGATGTCCCCTTCATGCAATGCCCCATCTGGGTGACGTCCCTTCCGTGCAATGTCCTGTCCATGTAATGCCCCACCTGAGTGATGTCCCATCCATGTTGTGTCTCACTTGGGTTATGCCCCATGCATGCAATGACCAACCATGCAATGTCCTGTCTATGGGATGTCCCATCCACACGCTGTCCCACCTGCGTGATGTCCTGTCCACGCAATGTCCCATCCATGCGACATCCCACCTGTGTGATATCCCATCGATGCCATGTCCCACCTGGACGATGCCCCATCCACACCATGTCCCGCTGCAGCGCTGTCCCTCCCGTGCTGTGCCCTGTCCTTGCAGTGTCCCTGATCCGCGGTGCTGCTGTGCTCCGGGGTGTCCCGTTGGGACAGCCGGGCATTCCCAGCGCTGTGTCCCACGCGCGCTCCCTCCTCCGGGCGTCTCCAACCGGGCGGCCCTGCAGTGCAGGATGGAGTGCAAGGACGTGCCGGCCGAGACGCTCTACGACGTGCTGCATGACATCGAGTACCGGAAAAAGTGGGACACCAACGTCATCGAGACCTTCGACATCGGCAAGCTGACCGTCAACTCGGACGTGGGCTACTACGCCTGTGAGTGGGGGCCCGGGGCGAGACGGGGCCGTGCAACGCGGGGCAATGCGGTGCAACGTGATGCGATGCAATGCAATGCAGTGCGGGGCAATGCAGTGCAATGCAACGTGGGGCAATGCGATGCAATGTGATGCAATGCAATGCAACGCGGGGCAATGCAGTGCAATGCAATGTGGGGCAATGCGATGCAACGTAATGCAATGCAATGAGATGCAACGTAATGCAATGCAATGCATCGCGGGGCAATGCGATGCAACACGGGGCAATGCAATGCAACGCAACATGGGGCAATGCAATGCCATGCAACATGGGCCAATGCAGTGCAATGCAACGTGGGGCAATGCGATGCAATGTGATGCAATGCAATGCAACGCGGGGCAATGCAGTGCAATGCAATGTGGGGCAATGCGATGCAACGTAATGCAATGCAATGAGATGCAACGTAATGCAATGCAATGCATCGCGGGGCAATGCGATGCAACACGGGGCAATGCAATGCAACGCAACATGGGGCAATGCAATGCCATGCAACATGGGGCAATGCAATGCAATGTGATGCAATGCAATGCGATGCAGTGCGATGCCACGTGATGCAACGCGATGCAACGTGATGCAATGCGGGGCAATGCAATGCAACATGAGGCAATGCAATGCAATGCGGGGCAATGCAATGCAATGTGATGCAATGCAATGCGATGCAGTGCGATGCCACGTGATGCAAGGCAATGCAATCCAACATGATGCAATGCAACGCAGGGCAGTGCAGTGCAATGCAACACGGGCAATGCAGTGCAACGTGATGCAATACAATGCGATGCAGGGCAATGTGATGCAACATGATGCAATGCAACGCAATGCAACACAGGGCAATGCAATGCCATGCAATGTGGGACAACGCAGTGCAATGCAACATGGGGCAATGCGATGCAACATGGTGCAATGCAATGCAACATGGGGCAATGAAATGCCATGCAACGCCATGCAACGTGGGGCAATTCGATGCAACATGATGTGATGCAGCACGGGGAAATTTGGTGCAACATGATGTGATGCAATGCAATGCAACTGGGGCAATGCAATGTGATGCAACATGCATTTGCTGCAGCATGATGCAACGCAATGCAACGCGGGGCAATGCAGCACAACATGATGCAGCATGATTTGATGCAGTGCGGCACAACATGGCGCAATGCAACACAGTGCAACGCAATGCAACATGCCGCAATGCAGGGCAGTGCAATGCAACATTGCACAATGCAACGCAACGTGATGCAATGCAACGCAACGTGATGCAATGCAACGTGATGCAATGCAACGTGGTGCAATGCAACGTGATGCAATGCAACGTGATGCAGTGCAGTGCAACAGAATGCCACACGTCCCGATGCAATGCAACATGACCCGAAACACGATGCAATGCAATGCAATGTGCTGCAATGCAATGCAATGCATTGCAATGCGCTGCAGCCTCATGCCACCCCCCCGTCCTTCCCCCGCTGTCCCCAGGGAGGTGCCCCAAGCCCCTCAAGAACAGGGACGTCGTCACGCTGCGCTCCTGGCTGCCCATGGGCAGCGACTACATCATCATGAACTACTCGGTGAAGCACCCGGTGAGGCCCGGCGGCGGCGGGGGGGTCCCGCGCCGTGGCACGACCGGGTGCCAGCGCGCGTGTCCCCGCGT